GCCTGTACCATAGGTCTCCAGAATCACTCCTGGAAAGAAAAGTGAAAAAAATAAAGACTTGAAGGAGTTAGTGCCTAAACATCATACAAGAGGTGATAAGCCAAATGCTCCATTAACACTAATCTTCCACTAACACTGCCTGAAAGTAAAATGACCAATCTCATAGGCCCATGAACTACAACGACCTTACTCAACGGATATCTGGACAAATTCAAATTCGGAAACCTTTCATTTGGGTGATCATGTAAGACGCCTCCAGTTTTCCTGCAATGAAAACTCTTTCGAGCCCATAAATGTTTATAAAATCTCTACAGAAGGTACACACAGGCTAGCGTGTTCAAAGTGACATAAAAGAATTCCGTGGGACATATCCATGAATTCGATTCTCGTCTTTCAAACTATGATGCACCACCTCAATCACCTTGAAACTTTTATGGAAAGCTAAGTTCAAGCATAGTAGACAGTAACTTTAAATGCCTTTCCGAGCTATTCTCTATATGTATAAGCGACTTGACCTCTTTCGTCAGTAATGCACTGAACCATATAATCAACTCATTTTCCAGGGCACAATTACAACTTCAGAGTTATGCTGCGCCAATGTCTAATGTCTAGAGGAATAAGTGCCATATCTAGTGCATGTGCAAGTAGTTTTAAATCGTTGAAGCAAACTTTGTAAATTCGCACAATTTCAATACAAAATTTTGATGAATAGAAGATTGATCAGTGAACCTTAGAATGAGTGTAAAGTCGTAGGTGAGGGATAGAGGGAAGGAAGGGTGGGAGAGGAGGAGAAGAGTAAGTAGAGGAAGAAGAAGAAGAATGATAACCAATGTTGGGAGTCTGATCGCAATATACGCTTCTAATCCTCTTCTCAATTGATGTTGACATTGTTACTAGATAATGAAGTAACAATTACCGAAAATACTCATCAATACAGAATTGGTCGTACACTTTTATGCCACAACTTTTAGTGTTTGTAGATGACAGAGTAAAATTGAAAGACTTCGATCACGTGATTGAACGCAAAATTAACAATTTTCTAATAAGATATTATAAGCTCAAAACTTTAGTCAGAGTTCATTTCGGAGTTAATTTGGGTTAACATTGAGGAAACACTACCCCCAAAATGACAACTTTTATCACACATGTTTAGACGCGGTTCAAATTATCATAATCATGTCTTCCACAAACCCATTCTTATCCACTGAAAACAAGTGGAACTGGAGCGAGGACAGTGTTATGAGATTGTACAAAGGTGTTCATTGCACTCGCCAAATATTGCACCACTTCAATTGGAGTGGCTTATTGAGAATTTAGGCGAAATTAAGAGACCATGTGACAATAAAATTCACCGGGTTGGCTCCACCACCCATACGCGTTAAAGTATGGAGCTTTGAGATCACGAGACAGTAGTAGATACATCCACCCCTCGCCTCATACTCACTTAATTCTAGTTTAAAATGTCATGAATTCCTTGCTAACCCCCTTCTATAAGACGGCACTTTTGTTTGGATGGAAAAAATGTGAAATGCTTTACCCAGCTAAGATTTATTAAAAAGCATGCCATGTACAATGAATTAAAGGTTGTCTTTGAATGTTTAATAAAATGCCGCATCTACTTAGATCTATTAGAAGCAGCAAACCTATCGAGGTTCCAGGAAATCCAGCAATCAGTTATGAATCCACATATATGAAGCCATTTAAGAACCGAAAAATCGAATCCAGCAATTAGCCGTCAACCCACTGAACTATATCCATTAAGTAGTAAACAGGCGGGCTGATTAACTTGGTGATGTGCGGGTTGGAAGCTTGACTCTCCTCGCAAGGGATGAGTCATTTCCACGCGCTTAGCCCTTTGCTCCGCGATCCACGTTTTGCTCAAAGCAAATATGATCTTCTTAGGTGAAATATTTTACTTCTGTATTATCCCCCACGGGCGCTTATTCGAGTGGGTGATTATTTGGTTCCAACAAGTAGTTTTATGAAACGGAATTTTCCGTTTAACCGCCCTGGGCGGATTTTAGGAAAACCCCGGTACTATCGTATTTAAAATTCCCTTTTTTCCTTTTAAATTTGCATACGCTATTTAAAAAAAACATTAAGTTCTCAGTCAACAATTCGTAAAACGGCCCCAAATGCACTCTTTCCCTTATATATAGTACATACTCTGAGACGTCAACAATGAGAGTAAATGAAAAAATTTTAGTGAGGGTGTCTTAAGGGTGTGAGCCCTGTTACACACCGTCAGTAAAAAGGCATACATGATTAAAGGCGAAAAATCACGTTAATAATAGATGAAAGCACCCTTTTCTTATTGAGAGCTCATATTTCTGGAATGTTAATGCTATAAAACCCTATTTCGGTGATAAGCGCGCGCGCTATAACCGTGAAATGCGGCGCCACCCATTTTCTCAGAGGTGGAAGGAGAGACCACTGTGGTGTATGATGAGTAGACCTCAGTGACTATATTGGCTCCTATTTAGGTCTTTCAAATCCAAGGATAANCACTCTTTCCCTTATATATAGTACATACTCTGAGACGTCAACAATGAGAGTAAATGAAAAAATTTTAGTGAGGGTGTCTTAAGGGTGTGAGCCCTGTTACACACCGTCAGTAAAAAGGCATACATGATTAAAGGCGAAAAATCACGTTAATAATAGATGAAAGCACCCTTTTCTTATTGAGAGCTCATATTTCTGGAATGTTAATGCTATAAAACCCTATTTCGGTGATAAGCGCGCGCGCTATAACCGTGAAATGCGGCGCCACCCATTTTCTCAGAGGTGGAAGGAGAGACCACTGTGGTGTATGATGAGTAGACCTCAGTGACTATATTGGCTCCTATTTAGGTCTTTCAAATCCAAGGATAAGTTAAAGCACCAATCCAACTTCCATCTTCACTGTTTGGCATATTAAGACCTGAACTTATCCTCTTTCTAAAAGCAAAGGAGATAAACTAAACCTATGTATGAAAATATCAAGGAACCATCAACGAATTTTCCCTCAGTTAAGCCAGGTAATTAACTCAAATCTCAACGATCCCAACCACCAACTTCCCTTTCTCTCATCATGAAATTCAAGGTATTCAATGATCCATTGGTATGATGAGTATGCACTAAAGAATTTTCGCCATTACTAAAAGGCTATCAGACTACATGCAGCTTACCCTTCATTGGTGGTTTGAAAAAGCTCCTCACTGCTTCAACAGAAATTGACGGGAAGAGACGAAGAATGGCGACATCGGGGCAGAGGTTTGTTTGAATAGTTAACTTCTTCGAGTTGTGCTTAGTTCGACGGAAGATACGATCTTCATAAACGTTGACCACCTCCTTCATCTCTGCTAGAGGTTTCGAATTCGGGGAGGTGAATGCCACAAGATCGGTGGTAGCCATTTTAACTATTCGATTTCCGCGGTAGAGCTGTAAAATTAGGAAAAGGCTATTCGGAACTCTTAACTTTGTGAAATCATCAAATACCCATTTCCAAATTGTAAACTGAAATAAAGAGCGTAGTATGGAGTAGGGATAACTTCTTTATTTAATACACAACCAAATACCCTTATATTAATCATAAATTAGTACTATAAGTACCATTCTTATGGGACTTTATTTTAGTAGAGTCAGCACACAACAAGCATAGACAGTTATACATGTTCATGTGTTCCGGCGTTGATTGATTCGGGCTTCAAATAGAAGTGTTTTGTGGAAGCAAGACGAACGAGTTAGAAAAGGTTGGACGTTGACTGTTTACAGTGACTCAACTAAAGACAAGCGCTGTCTATGTTGTTGCACAATTCGTTTACGTCAATTTTAATGATGAGTTGCTGATTTTCTCTCACATTTGGATCTCAAAATGACCTACTGCTTAGAGGAGTTTGCATCTTTAACCACGAAGATATGTTAGCAAACGCTCTTCAGACCTGAAAGTACCTCAGTGAAACTATTGTGCACGCTTATATCGAGAAGTGGAATCACTTTTGTAGAACCTGAATGCATGTTGGTGAGTATCTTTCTCCCATAGTGGCCTGAATATCCATCCATCTGTTAATCCTCTCTTGAAACAATAAACATCGACTCCTCTTCAACGTATAAACTACAACCATCTGCAACGACGGACCTTTGCATTCTGTTGGGCTTTTCTTTTTCTTCCTTAACTTCAACGAATAAATCCTCCAATCTCAGCCTCTTCTTCCTCTGTAGTAAGTTGTGTGATGAACCTAAATGGAGCCTACGGAATAGAGACTGGCTTTTAGTTGACGGGTTTTTCTGTGAAACCATAGTCCAATAAGTGAGTAAAGGTTATTGAAACCTAAACAAAGGAAAATCTGTGTATTCAGGAAGCTAGACAGAAGTTTTTGCACAGCTGATGGAAAGGCCGCTAGTGATTAAATTTTAGGGTGGAATAATTAAGGGTTGAAAGAATTTTCTTTGCAACGCAAAAGTTTTATTCAAGCTCTGTTTGCCAAATTATATGATTAGTTATAATTTAGTACCGGTTGAGATCAATGGCTCCAAGTCTTCAATGATGGGTCATACATGGAAAACCAAGCAAATGTTGGTGTAGGTGTCTATTCCGAACACAATAGATCCGCTTTCGGGAAAGAAATAGAGGCCATTAGGATAGCACTATGCCAATTATG